TGTTTTATAGTTGCTGAATAACAGCAGTACTTTGTAGTGTTTGTTAATGTGGGACAATGTAAACATGCTGTCAGTTGGGCTTCTTAATGTGATTAGCATCCCTTCATTATTAGTTTCAGTTTAATCAGCTGTTAAATTGGAGCACTTTGACATGTTGTTAGCTGGTCCTGTTGCTCCTGTCCTGTTCTGACATTTAACAAGTTAAACCGATCGTACCTTTAGTATTGGAAACAATTGCAAACTTAACCATTTGTTTCAGGTCTGATAGACTTATTAGCCTTATATTATGCCCTTGAACTGTCGAGGAGGTAGGGTCTCTAATGTGTTGCATCCTCTTCCTTAATGTACATCCTTCCTGCTAATGGTCCCATGTCCAGGCCTCCTTCAGGAGAACACCTCTGCTGCTCATTGGCTTTATTCATCTCCGCTTAATACAGTCCACAACGCAGAGAGGGCTTTAATGGCAAACAAAGGCGGGCCTGTATCATCCAACTTTAATACCGACGTGATTTATGTGTCGTTTAATCAGATGAAGTCAGGGTGGAGTCGAGTAGAGATGCTGGTGCACATGTGTGCTGCATATCTGATACTGACCCTCAGAGCAGGCTTCCTGCACATTAGTCCCAGCCCAAAAGAGAAATTCAATGAAGACATCCACTAACAGAGGTTTATGGTCTCCAAGGAGGCTTAAGCATCCGGAATCAGCCGATTTCTAGCTGACTGGTGACAGCCAACCGAATGCGAGCTGGTCTGTTTTGCAAATGGGCAACAAGCGCAGAGCAGTGCAGGAGAAAAGCCACATGCACACTAGCAGCCCTGCTAACATGTTGTTGTACGCACTAGAAAAGGATTTAAGCACCTGACCAAATCAGATAATTATTTGTACCTGTTTCCAATTTCTTTTGTTATAAAAGTGTTATAGAGTTATAAAGGTTGTTTTTATTTTGTTTGTATATGCTGTCAACTGTAGTTCTTAGAAAATCAAATATGACCAACTGCCGGTCACATTTAGAGAAAAAAGTTTTCATATCGAAGCTTATAGAGGATTATTTTTCACTGATTTCATAAAATAATTTAGGTATATAGTCACTACATATAAACACATGGATGTTAGAGGAACAACTTAGCCCTGCAAAGCCCAAACCATCAAATAATTACCAGATATTTCAGTTATTTTTTAAATTGAGTGTTTGCTGAATCTTTGACAAATTTGTAAAAATTGATTAAGTTGCATCGTATTTGCCACAACAGGCATTTTTGTGCAATTTATTTATGTTTTATTGGGGAAAGAAAATCACACTGATAATGTAGAGGTCTCAAAAACTCACAAAAGCCAACTTGGAAACCACCAGTTGCTAGGGAAAAATGTGTATTTCCAACTGGCTGGCGACTTGTTGTTGAAAGTGATCACAGACAGATGCACGATGCTGCACTGAAAACCTCTTGTGCCATTGCTTTGTTTGCTAATATTTGCTTTGTTTAGTACTTTACGCTAAACATAGCATGTTTAGTGTATTTATAACACTGAACAGTGAATACAAAAATAAACAAACAGCAAAATCAGTTTTCAAAATAGCAAACATCAGTTTTTTGGAGGACAAATGTCTGACTTGGCCAGGGTGAAAAAATAAGCTGTAAAAGAACCGTCACAGTCAATATAAAATATCAAAATCCCTCATTTAAATCAATAAAAAAGTTTTATCACTCCCAGCTCTGCTGAAAATGATGAGCTTTTCAATGAAAAAACACACACGTACCCGCCTCACATCGCCTTTCCTGGAACACGGATGCATCGGTCAGATATAATCGGTCTTTTTTGCCTTTGCTTCCACCAGCGTGCAGGCAGGCAGGCAGGCAGCAGGGTGGACGGGGCTGCTGGAGGTCGGCCCGGCTGCCAACAACCAGGAGTCTGAAATATGAAGTAGAGATGGTGGAGCGGCACAGAGAGATTAAGTAGCTGAGCTGCAGCGAGCCTCGCTGATTTCAGAGCCCTTGTGGGTGAATCCTCTCCCAGAGATCGAGTGTTATTGGTGAGCCGCTGGAAAGGGGTGAAGTTCTGGGTCGCGTGCAACCCGAGGCACACAAACACGGATCCGCACACACGTTTAAACGGCCTCAAACAGGAATTAAAACATCTACCCAGACAGGGATTAAAACGGCAGACACGCAGAAGAGTCCACATATCCACGAGGCACGCACACTAAGACTGCCAAGTCAGTTTGATGCCAGTTGTCTTAAATGTAGCGCCTGCATCGGTGTACTGCTTAAAGATTTTGAGTATTTCAAGCCCGTCTTCAGGTTTATTTAGTCTCTATATATGCTGAGAGTCAGTCACATGACCTGCGTAACATCAGTCTGTTAGAGTGATGACATCCTGTCATTTAGTCAGATGTTTCCATCCAGCTTCCTTTACCCACAGAAGTGACGGAGAGAGCCACGGCATGCGCACAATGTTTATCATTATCAACACAAGTCTAGTGAAGCATAGCCACACTTTTAAATGCTAAAATCTTTCAGTGTGTGTTTGTATGTGTGTGTTGCACAGTGTGGTATCTATAAAAGAGGTGTTCGCACCCGTCACACACGCACTCTGAGAGATCATGAATAGTGAAAATTCACCATAGCTCATTCTTAATCTTACTGTAGGAACAGGGCTGTGAGAGTGGTTTATCATGTATGTGTTTGTGCTCTTTAGGAAATATTCAAGAACAGTTTAATGAGCTGAAGAACTCTGACTAATGAGAGAGAAGAGCAGTTGTAACTTCTGGTGTTTGTGAGGCTTTTTTTTTTTTAGCTTTTTTTAGCCTGATTTTACAGAAATCAGAAATTTTACAAAGTTTCAAAAGTAAAGCGCAAACGTCCTGGATGATAATTTCAGTCGTTTAATTCCATTAAACTTGACGCCGGTGGTGAGGTCCAGTTCAGTGACTCAAATTAGCAAAGCCGAGGCCTGGCAGGCAGCCACAGCTGCTGCTGTCTACCTTCCTAACTTTGAGCCTTAACATTGTCTAAAATGTCTGAGTTGTTTAAAAACTAAAGTCACACCATGCAGGTGAAACTATTCACAGAGACAAACCTGTGAACCCTGATGCTGGGAAGCTGGCTACATTAATATAGGAGTCTGTGGAGACTCGCTCGCTTTTGGGGTCGGTTTTTGGCACTCCTTCTTTCAGCCTCTGAGGTTTCCACTTAAATCGGACACGTAATGACAGTAACAGTTGTTACGGATTCAAATATTGGGAATGGATACAAGAGGAAAACCAAAATAACAACACTGGTCCGGCCGGGTCAAGTCAAACAATGATTTAATGAACACACGCGTGGGAGATGGACACCATACA